TCAAAGCTGATTGTGGAGAAGTTTTTGCTAAGGAAAAAATTTATTCCTGACCCACAAGGCACAAATGTGATGTTCACATTCTTTGCCCAACACTTCACTCACCAGTTCTTTAAGACAGACCACAAGAAAGGACCTGCCTTCACCAAAGCTCTCGGCCACGGGGTAAGATCGTAACTCTAACTTGCACACAGCACTTGCTTCTCAGGAGCTACTGAGCGGCTAGGATGGTACCTTACAGGGCGTTGGGGTACACAAACTCCAGTGCACATACGCCTTTTGCCACAAACTGATAAACTTGCCCCTTCTGTAACTCCTCCTCAGGCAAAATTCCAGCATTTGATATCATCTCTTCCTGGGTCAGAACTGCTTGTGCAAAGCACATGGTTCTGTTCAAACAAAGTCAGATCACGGTGCAGATATTGTAACTGTTCCCAGGAATCTGCTTTCACGTAAAGCATCTTAGGTCTACTGAGTATCTGGAACTTCTTTGGACTCTGTCAGTCACAAAGAGCGGTATCCAGCACTGTAGAGTATCTTGTGTGCTGCTAATTGAGGAGACTTAGCTTAAAGAAATTCAAAAGCAGACTTGGATTTAGGAACTTTATCTGTAAAACAGGTAGCTGTTGGACAAAGTTCTTCAATGTTCTTCAATGTAAGTGCGATGTGTATGTGTGAAACAAAGCTATAAAATACGTATGTATCTACAAAGAGCTGTCTGCGTAATAGAAAGCTGCTGACAGCCTAAACAGAGTCCTTGTTAAATTGACTGGCAATTTACAACTTGCTGTTATGCAGACATGGCTCCAGTTGCCAGGAAATAATTTGGCTTCATCTTATTATCTGTGCATGATACTTACAAGGTGCCAATAGGAGTTCTTCCCTTAGAAGTAACGTGTCCTAAAATAACAAAAACCACAGGTTGACTACATGTTCCTAATGTGGTTTTTTTATTTTATAGGTTGATTTGAACCACATCTATGGAGAGACTCTGGAGAGACAGCTTAAACTGAGACTTCTAAAGGATGGAAAGCTAAAATACCAGGTATGTGTTATCTCAAAATTCCTACCTTCTTATTGGATGACATATTTCATAAACTAGTGCTCTCTGCGTGCTGTAGTTGATATCAGCTATAAGCCTAAAGTCAGTACCAGCAGAGTCAACACAGCTTAACTCACAGGCGTCATAGCTTATTGGATGATGTATTTCATAAACTAGTGCTCTCTGCATGCTGTAGTTGATAGCTATAAGCCTAAAGTCAGTACCAGCAGAGTCAACACAGCTTAACTCACAGGCATCATAGCTTACAACTCTTGTTTTGTTCTTTCTCCCTCTCCCTGGCAGATGATTGACGGAGAAATGTATCCACCAACGGTGAAGGACACTCAGGCAGAGATGATCTACCCTCCTCACGTACCTGAACACTTGCAGTTTTCAGTTGGGCAGGAGGTGTTTGGTTTGGTCCCAGGCTTGATGATGTATGCTACAATATGGCTGAGGGAACACAATCGGGTCTGTGACGTCCTGAAACAGGAGCATCCAGAGTGGGATGATGAGCAGCTGTTCCAAACCACTAGACTCATACTGATAGGTGAGTGTCACTTCTATGTGCAACTCTAACCTTCTCTTGGCTGTGACACTTGTACACACTATCTGTTGCAGTAGGTGTAATAAGAGGGAAAGCTTAAATTGGGGTGTGAGGGCACACATCTGAGCCTTTGTGACCTGTCACAGGGGTTGTACTGAGATATAACTAGGAGGAAGCTGTGTTAAAGACAGAACTGAAGAAAACTGAGCTATGTTACACTTAATTCCTTTATCTAAGGGAAACGGAACTAAAAGCAGTGAAATGCAGGAAGCAAAGATTAATTTCTCAGAGAGAAAGTATGTGAGGCTAGATGACCTCAGGCTCTCAGGTCTTGTGGGGTTTTTGTGGGTTTTTTCCCCTGGGGTTGGGTCAGTTCAGGTATGCTTCAAAAGAAAGGCTGTGATTAAGTCTGAATTTCAGGAAGTTATGTAAAATGTAATTCTACATACTTCTAACTGTTCAGTGGTATTCCGTCTTATGTAAATGGTGATGTACACTAAGCTTGGAGAGACTTTGCCCAAACTGACTGAAACTGTAAACCAGGACAGTTGTATTAAGCAGCTCAGAAGCTGAGAGTTGCTTTCAGACAGCAACTCTTTTTCTATTATCCCCTACGTCTGCCCTCGGGAGTATTGTGTAACTGAACACAGTGTAGATACTGATGAGTGCTGTTCTGTGGAACATTTCAAGGAAGTGTATCTTGAGAGGGGGAAGCAAGCTATAAAAACCACTTCTCTACCATTGTCAGAAACTCTTGGGATCTTAAGTACTGTTCCACCCCTTAGTCACATAAAATGTGAGTTCTTTTATAGAAGATATTGCAGAATGTCAGTGTGTTTATCCTGATCACTGTAGTGTGTTTTTAGAACAGTTCAGAAATGCTTTTTTCTCTTAGAGCAGGGTAACCATGTCAAGTTTCTCAGGGAACCAGCACCAATAGTGTGTTCTGTTTCACTGACCAACAGGAGAGACAATCAAGATCGTTATTGAGGACTATGTACAACATTTGAGTGGCTACCACTTCAAACTCAAGTTTGATCCTGAGCTGCTGTTCAACCAGAGATTCCAGTACCAGAACCGAATTGCAGCCGAATTCAATACTCTCTACCACTGGCACCCGCTTCTGCCTGACACTTTCCAGATACACAACCAGGAGTACACTTTCCAGCAGTTTCTCTACAACAACTCCATCATGCTGGAACATGGCCTTTCCCATATGGTGAAGTCTTTCTCCAAGCAAAGTGCTGGTAGGGTAGGTACTTTCTCATGCTTCTAGTGAACCAACAGACAAGCTGGGAGTGGGACAAGGGGTTAGAATAAAGCTATCGAAAACTAATAATACATTATTAAGGCACAACTTCCTCATGACTCTTATCGGGAGATCTTACTACTCTTCATCTTTATTTAATAGGTTGCTGGGGGGAAGAATGTTCCTGCTGCAGTACAGAAAGTAGCAAAGGCTTCAATTGACCAAAGCAGACAGATGAGATACCAGTCCTTGAATGAGTACAGGAAACGCTTCATGCTGAAACCGTTCAGATCATTCGAAGAACTTACAGGTAACAGTTCTCATCCTTCCTAGCAAACAAGGGCCCTTTTCTTAAAATGCCTACCAGAGTTGGAACAGGATAGTGTTGCCATGAAAATATTCCTATTTTTTCCACTTACGGTTTTTACTTTTCAATTACAGGAGAAAAAGAAATGGCAGCTGAACTGGAGGAGCTTTATGGAGACATTGATGCTATGGAGCTGTATCCAGGCCTCCTTGTAGAAAAGCCACGACCAGGTGCAATCTTTGGTGAAACAATGGTGGAGATTGGAGCACCGTTCTCTTTGAAGGGACTGATGGGCAATGCTATCTGCTCCCCGGAGTACTGGAAGCCTAGCACCTTTGGTGGAAAGCTGGGCTTTGAAATAGTCAATACTGCCTCCTTACAGAAGCTCATCTGCAACAATGTGAAGGGCTGTCCTTTCACTGCTTTCCACATCTTAAATCCTGAGCCCACGGAGGCAACTATTAATGTTAGTACCTCAAAAACAGCAATGGAAGATATCAACCCCACACTACTACTGAAAGAGCGATCTGCTGAGTTGTAAAACATCCCTCTATTTATTTATTTATTTATTCTATTTATGGCTTAAAGTGTTTTTAAAAAAAAAAAAAGCAAACTTCATTGTGGGGGTTGTCCTAGATTCCTTACTCAAGTAAGGCTTCCATTTAAAGGGATTTTTCTGTGTTTTGAGCTCTACAGCGGTGAATCCCTTGTTTAAAGTCTTCTGTAACAGAACTCTGTATTCCAAAGTGGACGAAGGTTCCAACTTTTTTTAATATCATTTTAATACTTGACAAAGGGTGTTGGTGGGTGTGGGTTTTTTTTTTTTGCCTTTTCACTTGATAGGTCACAACACTACAAAAGCAATTTCTTGCCTCAGCAACTTCTTAAACTTGAAAACAGGCTATTGAACTAAAGGAAATGACTTAATGAAAACTGCCAGAAAAGATCATGAATTCAGTATGAGCACTCAAGGACCAACAAAAATCAATATACTTGAGACTCACTTTTTTATATAAAAGTCAGAAAATGCATTGCATTTATCACTGATACTACCTCTCCCTCATTGCAAATAAGGCACTTTGTACAGTAACTTATGTTTTGTTTTTTATTTGTAAATCTACTTTCATGTGGCATTATAATTTTAAAACTTAATTATTTAAAGAAAAGAACTTCTCTTGGATCCTACTTGTTTTTGAAGCATGTGTCACAGAAGTATTGTGTAAGGATAATAGTAAGGTACCGAGCCTAGAAAGAACTGACTCTTGGGCTGCAATACAAAGCTGCTTGTACTTAGATACAGATGTTTTATTGTGCAAGTTTGGGGAGGTCTTAAATTTAGTCCAAAGGATCCTTTTCATAGCTGTAGTTCTCTGGTCTACTTTTAATACAACTTTTAATCTCTGTTACTTTAAGGACAAATGGGCAATATAGCTTTGGTTAAGGATGTGACTGTAGTGTAGGTTTGTGTACCCAAAGCAGAGATTAGTGGGGAATAGTAACTGAGAAGCTGTGTACATACACACCGAGAGCTGAGCACAGAATCGCCCTAGCAGACTGTTAAGGCACCAAGACTTGAAGGTAGCTTATGGCTGTGCACACAAGCCATGCTCCTGGCTTACAGTTCTATTTATTGGGGGGAGCAGGGGTAATATTTTATTTCTAACTTATAAACAGAGGCATTTTAACTAAGTGGCTTAAGCTTAATTAAAACTGGCTAGCTAGCACAAAGTCTAGACGTATCTGTCCTGATCCAGCACTAAAATATCTAGTCCCCTCTGGGCGCATAAGTTGCAGAGGATCTTGTACCAGCACTTCAAACTTCGCATGCAGGGGTGATTTTTCTTTTTTTACTTATAATTTCTAGAGAAGTGTAGAAGATGATTGTGTTGGGGAACTAGAGTTAAAGAGAATAGCACTTCAGACTGGAATAGAGCACCAAGCTGGTATTCTGTGCCTCTGCCCAAAACTCCTTGACTACTCATGGAAAAGGACTTGAGTTTTTTGTTACATCTGAGCCTCTCATTGCAGCAGCTCTGGCAGTGGCGTAGTTTGACTGTGACTTCTGTTGATTTGTTCAGACACTGATTACCTTGTGCTGCACAGGTTGTAACTGTGAGCAGGAAGAGCTGAATGACAGTCTCCTGCAGCAGTTGGTGCCAGTGACTAGGGGAGTATAACTGCTGTGGGAGAAAGAAGGGCATTTGTTTTCCTTTCTCTATTTGAAGCATGAAGAAGGGAAAAACTTCACTCACCTTGTATTAAAAGGTGGTCAGTACTGTATATGCTAGTAAATGACAACTGCTTGGATGCCTGTTCAGTATTGTCAGCCTGATCCATCTTCGGAACACACCATTTCAGAGTGCCCTTCTGCGCTTAAAGAAAAGGAAAAGTGCTTGGCTTAGAGTCAAAGGGAGACAAGTGTGGACAGATCTAGCTGTTTTGGGGTAGGTAAAGAGGAATTCCTCTGGACAGTGACATTTGGATGAAGTTACAAGCTGCTTCAGCAAGGAATCATGTTCACTCTGCATTTCGTACTCTGCAGCCACATTTCAACAGTCGCTTCTCTGTGACCCAACCTGCTGGGTTTGGCTGGGTTCAAGTTGTTCATGATAAATGTGTGTTTGAGATTATTTATTTAAACTTATGTGAATTGTTTTTCACTTTATTTTTGTAGGACAAGAGTCTTTTTAAAATGCAATTGTTTATATAAATAAATTGAAAATAATACTTGTATGGGCTTATTTGTGGTTTCCTTCAGCAATATTTAGTATGAAACAATTCTTTCCATTTATTTGCCCCTCAAGCTTAAATAGAGAATTTCAGGGAAATTTTAACACCTGGGCAAAAAAAAAAAGACACCATTAAATTCTAGATCCTACCACGATGCCTGTAACTCAGATCCAAATAGTCTTATTTTTCCCTTTGGTCACCAGTGAAGAGGGATTTCACTACGAAAGCCCTGGAGAAGCCAACTGCTATCCACTGTAGTAAAGATGCCAGCAATGCTCTCTCTTGAGTACCCCAAGTGCTTCCGAGG